CGGGGACGGTGGCGGGGGCGGGGACTTTGGCGGTGGCGGTGGCGGCAGGGGGGGCGGCGTGGCGGCGACGGCGGGGGTTGCTGGTGCTGGCGGCGGCAGTGGTAGTTGTAGTTATCGCCGTAGAAGGATGCTGCTTCAACTGATTTCCCTGCTCTTCGTGGTGGCTGCCTTCAACGAGCCTGCTCGGCGCCCTTCGCCCCGGCCTCCGTCTTTGGGACGCGCACTCTGGTTCGGTTGAAGGACTATTTAATTTGGTTTACCAGTATGTGCAAGGATTTTGAAGGGCTTCGTTTGGGCAGGCTTGCGAGATTTGGAAGGCATTTCTGAATGCTTCGAGGTAATTTCTCATAATTTGTCTGATTTTCTGGTCACTGCTATTGAGTCAGCACTTAACAAGGTGGGAGACTGCCTGACTCTTTGGGGCCTATTTCCGTACATGCGACTCTTTGTCGATCCCTGGATTCGTCACACTGGGGCCTGGTTCATCTTTGTCCTTAACTTCCGCAACGCGTTCACTCTCATGGCTGTCAACTTCGCCGTGCCAGTCATCACCAGCCGGGACTATGGTTGGACGCAACTGCACAATTCCTACATTTTTGTCGCATTGTCCCTGGAATCCATCATTTCCACTGCCATCTTGCAGAGAGCTAGCCGTCGGGTCAACGACCGCAACCTCATGTCTATCTGGGCTGCTATCAGCCACTCTGGGCTTTTCGCCTATTCAGTCTGTTCTGGCTTCGGCACCTCATCGCTTTCGGTCGCAGCTCTGATTTCCTTGTTGGTCTGGTATGATTTCGGGACAAGCATGCCGCCAACACAGTCCCTGTACTCCAAGTTGATCGGGAAGGCGCGCGGTCTGGAGTATTCTGCCACACGTGTACTGGATTTGTATTAGGAGGCATAGACGGGTTTTGCTTTTTGTGGAAAGTTGGAAGCTCGGCCCTGAAAGGGCAATGCTGGCTTGTATTTCTCCGTGCTGCTGAGTAACGGCTCCCTGGCCAATGCAGTTTCAGGACGGCAGACCTGTGCGTAGCCCCTGTGTATGTTCACAGTCCCAAGTACTTTTCAAATGTACCACTCACTGCATTTAACCTGTCCGAGTGATGTATTCCCCTGCCTTTTCATACATTTTTATTGTTGCGTTGATGCCCATACTAAGAACACCTGTCCGCAGGCCTTGGACAACCCTTCTGTGAAGCCTTTGAGGCCCGGCAGAAGCCATACAACAGCCAACTTCCTGCAGATACAACACCTTCCTACAAGCGTACTGCGTAAAGCGTATGCAACCTTGCATGCAGCTTTTCGGTCTACTCTGGCTTCTTGAACGAATCTGTAAATATATTACTTCCCTGTGAATTTTATTTGCCTTCTTGCATTAAATTCTAGTAGTCCCCCTAAAGCATGGCCCCTGAGCTCTGAACGAGCCTGACAGAGACAAACTCTCCGTGTAAGCACAGCAAAAGTGATGTACAGCCCCTTTTCCAGAGCTTAGTATAATGTAACCTCTAGATACGGAGTACAGGCGATGTATCGACCCTAAGCAGTCCGTATACGAAATCCGCATACATGCCAGGCCCACAAGAATCCTACTATCTTCAAGGTAGCCCTGCAGGCTCTTCTGAAAGTTGTCCACTTCAGATCTCCATAGGCCCTAAACCCTAAAAAACTCGAAACCTAAAACCCTAAACTCTAAACCCTTAAACCCTTAAACCCTAAACCCCAGAACCAAATTTGAAAGCAGGACAATTGGTGGGCTCTGCTTACGGCAGCTTGGGTCCACCGGCACTTTGGGGCCTGGTCCAGGCTAGGGCTACGGGGGATGGGCGGGAGGGTCTAAGGTTTGGGGTTTAGGGTCGGGACTGGGTCGGGGTTATATGGGGATAATGGAAGAGAAAATGCATGAAAGCCGCGGTTCGGTTCGGTGCGGTTTCGGTTATTTCTAAA